TTCTTCTTTTTTTTCCAACTTTTGCATTCTAATCACAGTGATAATCAACACAACTTGATCGCATGTTTGGTCAATTTCAGACTGTAGAAGTTGGAAAAACTCTTCAATATCCTTGTCTTTGGCTTTGCTGGTTGGTGCATAAATTTGAATAATAGTAGTATTAACTGGTCTTCCTTGTAGGTGTATGGATATTATCGTATCACTGACAGTATTGTATTTCAGGATAGATCTTGAAATATTCTTTGTGACGATGAATGCCACACCATTCCTCTACAATTTTTCATTCCTAGCATAGTAAATTATATGGTTGTCTGATTCAAAATGGCCAAAACCAATCCATTTCAGCTCACTAAGTCCTAGGATATCAATCTTTATGCATTCCATTTCATTTTTGACAACTTGCAATTTTCCTAGATTCATACTTTGTACATTCCATGTTTCAATTATTAATGGATGCCTGCAGCTGTTTCTTCCCATTTTGAGTCATGCCACATCAGCAAATGGAGGTCCCGAAAGCTTTACCCTATCCACATCATTAAGGTTAGCTCTACTCTGAGCAGGCAGCTCTTCCCCCCTTGTATTTTGAGTGGTTTCCAAACTGAGGGTCTCAGGTCTCATCTTCCAGCACTATATCAGACAATGTTTTAGGGCTATTAATAACGTTTTCCAGTACTATATCAGACAGTGTTTCACTGTTATTCATAAGGTTTTCCCTGACCAATTCTTTGAGAAGTGGATGGCCTCTTCTTTCTTCTGAGTCTGTCTTAGTCTGGAAGCTCTACTAAAACCTGTCTACCATGGGTGACCCTGCTGGTATTTGAAATACCAGTGGCATAGGCTTCAGCCTCACAACAACACACAAGCCACCATAGTGTGACAAACTTATAGATGAGTGGTAGAAGCTGGCATGTAGTAAAGCTATGTTGTGAGAGGAAATATTTATCCATTATCAACATCATAAATCAAAGATTGAAAATTATAGGTGAAGGAGTAGAGAATAATAGTTGATGCCACTACTTTCTTGTCAACTGACCTCTTAGTAAATGGGCCTTGTTTTTAAACAGTTGGGTGTTTTAATATTTAATCTGATCAATTTGTGGATTAATTAAGGAAAACTAAGAAAAATGGTTCCCTTTGCACTCTGTAGCTAAACTGAGAGGTCATCTTGAACAATACGAAAGAGATAAAAACAGAGCAGCTCTGGTTGAAGAAGTACTTCTCAAATGGCCTTCTCTTCAGAAACCAACCCCACACTATGTGTTTTCTAATACGCCTACAAGGAACTTTAAAGTTCTACTGAACAAAGTTTGAAAATCATGCATTTAAAAGCAGAGGAAAAGAGCAGTCTCAGCTAGCTCAAGAACACGTCCCAAGAGAAAACTTTCATTTCCTCAGTGACTGTGGTAGGATAGATTCTGAATTAAGAATCAACAAACACAAGGTTTGTTTTCAGCATAAGAACTTATTTACCAGATGGTCCTGGGGAAACATTTAACTTCTCTGATCTTGATTTTCCTTATCTGCAATAAGTAAATACACCTTTCCTATCTCAAAGATTGATTTTAAAATTAAAGGACACAATGAATGTGAAAGAAGCCTAGAAAATACAAAGTATTATGTTAATACATTACTACTGCTGAGGACAGAATCTATGTAGGAAGGAAAAATTATCCATAATAGGTACCAAGTAGTAAAAATTATCAGTAAACCTACAAGGAAATAAAGATTTCTTCCAGAAAAAAAATTAGTTACGTGCTTTCTGTAAACTACTTTCCCTTGCTGTAGAATTAATGTCTCATAAATCATGTAATTGTTTGACCTTTGTCTTACTACACAGACTCACACAATTAATAAACGCCAAAATGTTGCACCCTGAGTCAAAGCAGTGTAATTTTTCCATTTAAATTTGTATTGAATTCTGTTCTCATGAGAGGAAATCGAAAGTTCTTGAAAATGAAGTCTAGAATGTATCAAGCATTGTCCTTGGACAAATTTTCAATTAAATAAAAGTGATTATCCCTAGAACTGGAACTCTTAGACTCTGGCTCTACTAGCACTGCCCTTCTTACATTAAACAGATATTTTAAAGTCATCATAAATGAAGGAACTTTACCAGCAGAATACATCTTTCAGGTTGTTTTTCAACAGTATTCATAAAATTTCACCAACTGGTCCATTGATGCATCCCTTTTATACACAGGATAGATAATAAACTCCCTAGCCTGGCATTGAAAATCCTAAATAATCCGAAACTACCTCTATTCCTAAATGGTCCTTACTACCTCCTATTTTCAGAAAATGTACTTCACTGAATTCTACTACATGAAACACATTTCATTGAGCATACAGAAAAATCAAATTCATAAAAAGTGCTTTGTTTGAAGTATTATTTGCTGCCTTGTAAAAATTATGCTTACCCTTTAAGAGTAATGCACTCCTGGGAGCTTTCAGCCCAACAGCCACTCAGCATCGCAGCAAAATAACTAGATCTGGCACTTAAAATGGCCCTAAAGGGAAGAGGGGAAAAAAACACAGGTAAACATTTATGTACTATGCAATGTGTAACTTTTTAGTGAAGCTCTTCATCTTTACCTCTTAAAACATGATATTTTTTGTTATTTATGTGCACTGCTAGAATTATTGTAATAATAAAAATTATAAGGTTATATTTTATACCTAAGTATTTTAATTGCTTGATTAAAACATTAATTCCCATACCCTTTTTATCTTTCTAATTTTTCTTCATAAAAGCTCTTTAGTGATAGTAACAACTGAGACTATTTCTATGATTAAGAGAGTAATAAACTACTTACAGAGAAATAAAGACCAAAAGATGGTATTTAACATCTTGAGGAAATATCAGATAAAAAAGACTAAAATTCTAAAGGTCCTGAGTTCTAGTTGAGAACTCATCCTAATTATACTCAAGAAAGGCTTTATCTTAGGTTTGAGAAAGTGACAAGAAATACAATTTCTTTTGAATTTCTATTCTATCTTCTGAGATAAATGTTCATTCATTAATTCAACAATTATCTATTAACTTCTGTCTATGCCAGACACTATTCCAGGTGCTGAGAATACAGGAATAAATGAGATACATAGCATTAAGTTATATTCTAATGGGGGATGGAAGAGTGGAGAAAGAAAGGGAGAAGGGAAGATAACAAAGTTAATAAATAGTAGAAAGGCAATTTTAAGTGGTACAGTGCAGGCAATTAAGCGGGGTGTATTTATACAAGAAATGGTAATGAGGGAACTGGGCTCCTCTAGAATTTAGGAGAGGAGACTACTTATAGACTGGGTAGTCAGTGCAGCTTCTCTGAGGAGGTGACATTTAAACTGAGCCTGAATAATGGGGAGAGAGCTAGGCAAAGATCTGGGAGAGAGTACTCCAGACAGAAAAGCCAACTAGTGCAAAAGCCTTCAAGGGGCAATAAATTTGGTGTCCTCGAGGAACAAGAAAACAGCCAATGTGACTACAGAATGGTGAGTGAGAACAGGTAGCGAGTCAACTTATGTAGGACCTTATGGCCATGGTGAGGGGTTTCTTTACATATTAATTCAATTGCAATAAGAAACCATTAGGTACTAAGCAGTATAGAGAAATGATCTGATTTTCATTTTTGAAAGGTGACTCAAACTGCTTTGTAAAAAATGGATCATAAAGGGCCAAGAATAGAAATAGGAAGACCACAGAGAGATATCAGTGGCTTAGGCAAGGGTGGGAGCAGTAGAGAGAGAGAAAATGGACAAATCTGAGGCATATTTTGGAGGCCAAAGAGAGAATGAGGACTTAAGCAAAATGGGGTTTAATGGGGATCAAGCAAAAGAGAGGAATCAAGGATAATGCCTAGATTTGTGTCCTGAGCAAGTACTAGATGGTTTGTGTTTGTCTGTGTATTGGTGGGAGTGGGAAGAAGGAATCAAGTTTTCTGTTTTGAATATGCTAATTTTAAGATGTCTAATAGACAGCTATGTGAAATTATCAAGTAGATAGTATAAAAGTCTGGAACTGATTAAAGTGATCTGCCTTGAAACATAAATATAAATCAATGTATAAGCAGCTTTAGATATTTTCTAGTAATGGAAGATAATGCACATACAGAGTTTTCTTCTAAAGAGATACTGGCTGAAAGGAAATACAAAGTATGTTTCAATTATATCTATATATCTATATAGATATATCAAATTGGCCTCAGAAAATCTGGTGTTATGCTAAATGTGAGACAACTTTTTCTTCAGCTGGACCACTAAAAAAAACTGGCATACATATTCTAGGAGTTCAGTCCTCTTGTCACCAATTTCTCTTCCAGGTCAGGTTCCACTACTGACCTCTGAGAATGATAAAACATTAGCTTGTCTCCTCGGAACAAAGATGGGGCAATGTACTTCCGTGGTGATACTGCCTCAGAAACCCAAGGAGGTGTTGCTATGAGTCGGGTCCAACTGGATGGCACATAACAACAATAACAACAGTAACAAAATCTGTTTACATGTTTCGATTATGACACTCATTGAATAAATGTATTCTAAGGACTGCTATTGTATATTTCAGCTGGACCCTAAGTGCTATACCCTGTGAAGAAGAGTGAATAGGAAACAGACTAACCCTTATGAAAATCAGCTCAATTTAATCAGCTCAATTACTGACTAGCAAGGGATCTGCACCTAGCCTAACTGCCAGTGAAAAGCAAAAAGTAATCTCTCTGCATTAAAATAATATCACTCAGCATATCAAATTAGTTCTGTAAAATTTTAATAAAATGTCCAGGTATCTTCCATAGATGATCAGGCATAAAAACAAACAACTGGAAAATAAATTTTTAAAATGCCACTTATACTATGCTTAGCTTTAAATGCCTATTTCAGAAAAGGAAAAAGATTTCAAATCAATGATTTAAGATTCCACTTTAGGCAACTATAAAAAGAAGAGCAAAGTAAACCTAAAGAAAGGAGAAAAAAATGAAAAAGTAATAGAACCTGATGATCAAGTGAAATATTTAATTCACAGGTTTGTTGTGTAACTTATTATTCTACAAAAGAAGTGAAAGATTAAAGGCCATACCTTACAGTATGATTAAACCTATATAAATGGATCTGAAACTATTACTCATTCTACGATTATTTCCTCAATTATGAAATAAAACTTTTTAAAGCTCTTTCAATTATAAAAATAACATATGCTTATAATAAACTCTCCTACAGAAATGAATAAAGTAAAAATTTTAAGTACTTTCCTTGCTTCCTTGTTTGCTTCAGTTCCACTCTTCAGGAATAACCATTGTGAACCATTTATTAAGGAACTCTGGTCACGTAGTGGTTACCTGCTTGGTTGTTAACCAAAAGGTTGGCAGTTCAAACTTACCAGCTGCTACATGGGAGAAAGATGTAGCAACCTACTTCTGTAAAGATTACAACTTCGGAAACCCTATGGGGGCAGTTCTACTACATACTATAGGTTTGCTAGAAGTCTGAATATATCTGAAGTCAGGGAATATTTTTCTTTAAAAAAAAAAAAAAAGTACTGACTATCCTGCAGGCCTTTTTCCATGGCAGTTTTTAATAACACATTGACCATGTATTATACTGAATTTTAATACTTATAATCCACTTGATGCTCCATATGTCATTGTTTCTTGATGAATCTCAATCTCAGCACAAAACACAGTACTAGGCATACAGTGCTCATTAGACAACTAATGAAAGAGTGCTATTAGAATGCTATCCTATCATGTACTTACTTTGTCTGACCATGCCTAGTGATCAGCAAGTTTTAGAGTCTCTTCTGGCATGCATAGTAGAATGTGCAAGACCAATGACTTTTTCATTGCAAATACCTTTCTTCAACAACATAAATGGTGGTTATGCACAAGGATCCTGCCAGATGGAATACACAGAAATCAGATCAACTACATCTGTGCAAAGAGGCGATGCAGAAATGCCATTATCATCAGTCAAAACAAGGTCAGGAGCTGACTGGAACATACCATCAATTGCTTATATGCAACTTCAAGTTGAATCTGAAGAAAATTAAAACAAGTCCACAGAAGTGAAAATACAACCTTGATTATATCTCACCTGAATTTAGAGACCATCTGAAGAACAAATTTAAGACACCGGACACCAATGACCAAAGACCAGACAAGTTGTGGATGACATCAAGAACATCATACATGACCAAAGCAAAAAGTCATTAAAAAAACAGGAAAGGAAGAAAACACCAAAATGGATGTCAGAAGAGACTCTGATGCTTGCTTTTCAAATGGAAAGTAGCAAAAGTGAATGGAAGAAATAATGAAATAAAAGAGCTGAGCAGAAGATTTCAAAGGGCAGCTCAAGAAGACAAAGTAAAGTATCATAAAGATATGTGCAAAGACCTGGAGTTAAACAACCAAAAGGGAAGAACGTGCTTGGTATTTCTCAAGCTAAAAGAACTGAGGAAAAAATTCAAACCTCAAGTTGCAATACTGAAGGATTCTATGGGCAAAATGATGAATAATTCAGGAAGCATCAAAAGAAGATGGAAGGAATATAAAGTGTCACAGTACCAAAAAGAACTGGTTGATGTTCAGCTATTTCAGGAGGCAGCATATGATCAAGAACCAATGGAACTGAAAGAAGAAGTCCAAGCAGCACTGAAGGAACTGGCAAAAAACAAGGCTTCAGGAATTGACGGAATGACCACTGAGATGTTTCAACAAACAGACACAGCACTGGAGGTACTTAATCGTTTATGCCAAGAAATTTGCAAGATAGTTATCTGTCCAACTGACTGGAAATGATTGATACTTGTGCACATTCCAAAGAAAGTTGATCCAACAAAATGTGGAAATAAGCAAACAATTTCATTAATATCATACACAAATAAACTTTTGCTAAAGATAATTCAAAAACAGTTGCAGCAGTATATTGACAAGGAACTTCCAGAAATGTAAGCTGGATTCAGAAAAGGACATGAAACGTATCCCATTGCTTATGTCAGATGGATGCTGTTTGAAAGCAAAGACTACCAGAAAGATATTTATTTGTATTTTATTGACTATGTGAAAGAATTTGATTGTATGTATCATAACTAATTATGGATAGCATTGAGAAGAATAGGAATTCCAGAACACTTAATTGTGCTCATGAGGAACCTGTACATAGCCCAAGAGGTTATCATTCAAACAGAACAAGGGGAAACTGCATGATTTAAAGTCAGGAAGGGTGTGTGTCAGGGTTGTATCCTTTAACTATACGTATTCAATTTGTATGCTGAGCAAATAATCTGAGAAGCTGGACCATATGAAGAAAATGGCATCAGGACTGGAGGAAGACTCATTTACAACCTGCGATATGCAGGTGATACTACCTTGCTTGCTGAAAGTGAAGATGACTTGAAGCACTTACTGATGAAGATCAAAGAATATAGTTTTCAGTATGGATTACTCCTCATTATTAAGAAAACAAAAATCCTTACAAGTGGACCAATAAGCAACATCATGATAAATGGAGGAAAAATGGAAGT